CCAGGTAATACATGCCTCATATGGTAAAAGAAGAGGAGCGGCCATTCTGATTAGTAAAGGGATGCCATACAAGGTTGAAAAGGAAATTAGGGACAACAATGGGCAGTATGTAATGATTGTAGGGACGATAGGAGACATGACTATCTCAATATTAAACGTATATGTCCCAAATGAGGAGAATGAGACATTTCTTAAACGAATAGCTAAAGTAATAACTACTGAGGCAAAGGGGATCATTTTGATGGGGGGAGATTTCAATACAGTACAAAATGGTAGATTAGACAGAACTCCAACAGACTTAAGACCAAGCACAGGAAAATCTAGAGTATTGAATATTATTACTAAAGAGCTTGGCCTCACAGATGCTTGGAGGGATAAAAATCCAAAGATGAGGGATTATACATTCTATTCAAACCCCCATGGTAGTTATTCGAGGATTGATCATTTCTATGCAGCGCAACAACATATGCACAGAGTACTGGACTGCGGTATAGAGAATATAACGATTAGTGACCATGCACCTATTACACTAAAGATAGATTTGGACAAGCATCCTTTCTTTCGATACTGGAGAATGAATGTGTCGATTCTGGCTAGTGAAAGTGTGGTAAAAGAAATAAAACAATTTAAAAGAATACTTCCAAATAAATGATAATGGAGAAGTATCACCATCAATATTGTGGGAAGCAGGGAAAGTAGTGATTCACGGGAAAATTATAGAAATATCATCTAGGCTGAAAAGAGCTAGACTAAAAAAGCAAAAGGAACTAGAGAAGAAGATTGAGGAATTAGAGTGGGAACATAAAAGAACAGCAGATAGTTCAATATTTGGTGAGGTAAAAATGGCTAGAGATCAACTGAATGATCTCTTAACAGTTAAAGCCATTACGATTCACAAAGCAGAGATACTATCAAATGGGTGACAGGGCCAGTCGCCTTCTGGCATTCCAACTTAGAAAAGCTCAAACTAATAGAATAGTCTCAAAAATAACACATCCCACATCAAAACAAATACTGACACAACCTAAAGAAATAGCAGAAGCATTTGCATCTTATTATAAAAAACTTATATGACGACTGAAAATAAATTTAATGATAGGGAAACACAAAATTTTCTTAAAAACCTAAAGTTACCAACATTGCTAGACGAAGAGGCATCTGAATTGATTAAACCAATCTCTTTGCAGGACATACAGGATACAATAAAAACTCTTAAAAATAATAAATCACCTGGAACAGATGTGTTTCCAGGAGAGTTTTATAAAGGTTTCAGGGAGGAAATAACACCAGTGTTACATAAGGTATTTAACTACGCACTGGAGACCCACCTAAATCATGGTCTGAAGCCATAATATCAGTTTTGCATAAAGAGGGAAAAGATCCATTTTTTTGTGAAGCATATAGGCCTATGAGTTAACTTGGCAATGATCTGAAAATCATTACAAGCATACTGGCAAAAAGAATGCAGAAATACCTTGCTAAAGTAATTAAAACAGATCAAACTGGGTTAATCCCTGGATGGCAGGGAGCCAATAACATCAGGAGAATATTAAATATAATTACAAGTACAAAACACAAACTTGAGCCCTCTATGATGCTTAGTTTGGATGCCCAGAAGGCTTTTGACAGAGTAAAATGGAGATTTCTATATTAGGCATTGTCAGCCTTTGGATTTCCACAAAATTT